TTCCTCACCTAATCCCTTGGGCTGATTGCTCTTCTCTTTGGCTCCCTTGGTTTTACCCCTTTCTCCTGCTCTTCCGGCCTGCTACTTTGTGCTACACCTGTGCTTACCTTGCTCCTGGAGACCCGGTCCCTCTTGGGAGGGTAACAAGGGAAAGTGTTGCCATAGGGAACATTAAGTATTGACAGGATTGGATTTTATAAATGTCTGTAAAGTAAAATGGAACGTAGGTTTTCAAATATTAGACATTAATTTTTTTTCATTAAGTACTAATAACGGATGGCAAGAAAAGTTAATTTTCAAAAGGTCTAGGATTTAAAGGATAATAGAATGAACTTCTAAAAGCAAGAGGATTGATTAACTTGATTTTGCAACTTATGTAATGAGTAGGACTCACTGCTGTTGATTCAGATCTGACTCATAGCGACGACTCCTTGGGTTTCTGAGGGGGTATCTCTACGGAAGTAGATTGCCCAACCTTCCTTCCGAGGAGTGGCTGGTGGGTTTGAACCATCAGCCTTGTGGTTAGCTGTCAAATGCCTTAGGCACTACACCACCAGAGCTCCTAATGAGTAGGAAGCATCTTTGAAAAGGGATGAGGATACGTGAGGATACACGCACACTCACTCACTCCCTCACTCACTAGATTTCTGTTCGTAATTACCAATATTGATTCTTTAATTATAACAAATGTACCATACTCTACTAAGTTGTTACTAGATGTTACAAACTAATTTTAACTAACTACTGTACAATACTAAATCTTCTATAATAAAATGTTAATAATAAGGGAAACAGTGAATGTATCTGGGAACTCTGTTGTATGTGTACCTCTTTTCTTTAAATCTAAAACTCTTCTAAAATATAGCCTATTAATTTTTAAAAAGCAGGTTAAAGGGCAGAATTATCATAGTTTGCTTTATTATTAAGTTTAGGAGATCGATCCCAAGCTTCTTGTTATTGCTAGTTTCTGTTGAATTGATTCCGACTCATGGCGACCCCATGTGTACAGAGTAGAACTGTGTCTTAGAGGATTCAAGGCATGACCTTTCAGAAACAGGCTTGGTACATTTTTGTAGTATTTGATACATATTTCACAATATCTAGAAGTTCATATACTACTCATGCTAGCTGGGTGTTTTTTTTCCAACAACATTTATAAACTAAGAGATGTCAGTTATAATTTCTAATTCCTTGTTTTTCTAGAAAAATAAAGGCATCTGGCAATAGTTGGCCACATTTTGTGAAAGCAGTTCGCTGGACCTGAGTATCAATACCTTAGATACCCTCCTTGTTCAATAGTGAGGCTGTGAGTCATTTAACACTTTTCATTTGCTTACATTTCTAAAAAAAGTCTTACTAAGAGAAACGTGAAATGTTTCCTTTGTGTATCTCTTTCTAAACCAGTTGTCATTGACTAGATTCTGACCGATGGTGACTACTTGTTTCAGAGTAGAGTTGTGCTCCATTATGGCTTTCAATGGCTGTGATCTTTTGGAAGTAGATTTCCTGGCCTTTCTTCCAAGGCACCTCTGGTTGGATTCAAACCACCAACCATTTGATTAATAGCCAAGTGCTTAACAAATTGAGCCACTCAGGAATTCTGGTAAAAGTGATAAAAGGCAAGTGGAGAAAAACTGCATTTGAAGAACAAAGGGACCATGTATGTATCTTGTAGATATGAAGGATATATCTACATGTTTAACATGTATTCAAAGTGTTTATTGAAAAAAATCTAAAGCTATTTTTAAAAAAACTCATCACAACCCATTTTACTTATTAATTTATTTATATTACTTCTGTGACTCTTATGTGAATATAAGCTATCACTGCTTTTATAGTATTTTAATAGTGAAGTTCTGCTGTTGGTTTATGGAGGAAGTTTGAATGAATAATACCTAAATATGAAAGCCTTTATTATCATAGTAAAAATATCTACTGTTGGAAGTTTTTATATATCTTCATAAATGTTTGAGTTATTTTTAATTGCAGCCTCTTGACAATATTAATTTAAAACTCTTATTTATAACATTATAATCTAATGATACCTTAAAAAACTCATTTATTAAAGAACAAACTAAAGTTACATATTTTTCTAAATTTTATGTTTCACCTTGAATAATTCACGTAGGTTTTCTTTGGTAAATGATGGGATGTTAATGTATCTATATAATTATTTTACTAAAGGAAAACTAGAAAAGATCAGGTAGCCTTTGGAAGTTGTTTAGGTTGGCAGCCTAGTGAAGTAAATATTTACAAACATCATAAATTTGCTTATAAGAGAAGAGGAAAAAAATGAATAAAAGCCATATTGTAATTAAAAATGGAGGGAAAAGAATAGGACAAAATCATTTAGAGTTACTGGACGAAAAGTGGTTAAAGTTTATTCATTTGATGTTCAAAGCAGTAAATATTTAATACATTTTTAGTATGGTAACAAAACAGCATAAATAACATTCTTGAGGAAAGTATTTTGTAGTGTAATGAAATAAAGATGAGGAAACAAATCAGGTTACTTACATATGAGGTAAGTATAATCATATAAATCAAAGATGACTACTCATAAAAAATTATGTTAATATGAAGATAATTTTGTCTATTCCCCTTGAAAAAAGAAAAAATAGGTAAAATTGGAAGCAAGTAATATTTCTCATTGTTGGTCCAGAAAATCTAAAGCCATATTTGTTTCTCATTGTTCTTAGTAATAATATTTAGGAGAAAAGGGACTTTCCACAACTTTAAATTAAAATATTGTAGAGCTACTGGATCTCTCTTGTTAATATTAGGATCAAAAGATTTGACTATTTTTTGCTGGTAAATTGCAAAAAAAAAAAAAAAAAACTTGCAGTATGATTCAGGACTTTATTTTTGTTATTTGTAAATGGAGTGGTTAATTTGAAAATAACCTGTATGCATGGGTTGTAATGGTCTCAAAGTTTTCATGACTTAAAATCAACTTAGTGACAACAACAACCATTATGAACTGGTTTTCTAAAACCTTAATTTTCCTGTGATTTCTAATAATAAAATATGGGGCTTACCTTTAGCTTTTCATTTGACAAAGGAAGAAATTTCAAAAGAGAATACTGTGAACAGTCTTGACTTTTAAAAATATCATAGTTCTTTGAGTTGTTACTATAAAATTATGGTATATTAAAAGCTAAGCTGTCCTAAAGTGTTAATGGTTTACTTCCCTGGATTTATCTTTTAGCATATTGAATGAATCTTGATGATCAACTTGCTTATTTCATGAGGGAATATATATGTGTATACTTAAAAACTTGAAATGCTTATTAGATGGGTAGTATGTATCATGCAAACAAAACTTTCGTTTCTTTCTCCTGCATATTTATATGGCACTGTTTCTATGAAAATATAAGACTCTTGGTTCTTATATTAAAAAATGTTATTCTGTTGGTATGATAGATGTTTATCTATTGCTGGTTTGTAGTTTATTGTTTAAATGGGATTTTCTTTGAATACTTATCATTTATGTATTATAATATCATACATATGTGTATATATATGTAAATAATACAAGATACAAACACATGTATATATACACACTTTTTTTGTAGGTATCTCCGCGGGCATCTTTCTCAAGCTTAGAAACCTTAATGGTGTCACAGAAGTCTGAAATTGAGTATTTACAGGAGAAACTGAAAATAGCAAATGAAAAACTGTCAGAAACTAGCTCTCTCAAAAAGAGTGTCTCAGGCAGAATCATCACAAGTACTGAAGGAAAACATAAGGTAGGGACATTTTTTCATTTTGTGAATTTGTTAGGATGAAGCTGGCAAGTCAAGAGATTTTGGGGAAAGTTAAACAAATAGCAACATTTACTTCTGTACGTATGATTCTGGAAGCTTTTTAAAAAGCATTATGTGCCAAATGCTTGGTGAAATAACTGTTGGGAGTAGGAAGCTTTTACTTGTAAATAGTGAATAATATCTTCTTAATTTAATTAATTATATTATTAGTACCAATATACCTCTTGTGCCAGTGAGCTAATATTCTTATATAAAAATGCTTTGGTACGATTCCTTGATTATTTATCTGATAATCTATCTGATAAAACTCATTTAAAATTTACATTAGTCATTAACTCAGTTTTCTAATTTTCATTAAAAGCAAAATAGGTCCTAATGTTTTCTATCTTGTTTAGGTATGACATTTATAATAATATGGAATATAGAATAATAAGTGGATTTTAACATTAATCTGTATACTTATTGTAAGATTTCATAGATTTTAAGAGATAGCAGTAGAGAAAACAAAGCAAATTTTGCATAACATTTCTCATATATTAACATTGTCTTAGCTTTTCCTTTTGTAGTATTCATTACATATTCATATTATGCTGCAAAAGATTCAACAGAAGGTTGCCTAATACAAACATTTCATATCATATTGTAAGTTTGATATTTCTAGGTAAATTGTAATAACATTTCCCTAAAAGTAAGGCGTTTTAGACATATATTTCTCATACTTGTTCTATCAACAGTAAAGGAAAATGCTTTTTATAAGTAGAAAACCATATTTTGAAGATAATAATTAAGTTCTTGCCACTTTCTCCTATGAATAGAACAAACTGTCTTCCTAGAGGAAGCATTTTCACCTAGTAACAGATTTCTCTGGTACTCTTCATTACTCTCTCTAATATTACTAGTCATTTTCAGGGGAAAGAGTCTTTTCCCCCTTTTTGTAAAAACATAAGTGCATTTATTTGTTCTTGCCATTTTAAAGTAGTTTCACAACACTGAGCTTTATTTAAATAAAAGAAAATATTCCCAACATTGAGATGCAGTAGTATAGGCCCTTATTTTGTTGCTTGCTGTATTGCCAAAGTTTAAAAATGTAGTGCTTTGATGTTTCATTGCTTTTAATAAAAGTCAAGAAGATGAGAGGGAATATGTTGAACAAAATTTTTATTTCCTTTTCGTAAGGACATGCAGTAAGTATGAGCAATATGTTGTCTAGCTTTTAGTTGCTTTCACATATTCCTTCTCCAGATTGGTATATGAAGCTGTACATAATATAAACACACATTCTTGTCTCTAGTTAGCCACATTATAGTTAATGACCATATGGTCATTATGGTATAAGATCTACTGTCTGTTGTATTTATATTCCTCAAGCATATTGTTCCTTCAACTTCACAGTGTGTTAAACTATTTCAAAGGGAAAAAAATCCTTTCCCTCTTGTTTCTGGTTGTCCTATCAAGTGTAACCTTGGACCCTTATAGAGCAATTAGACCAGCCTCTATCCCCTCCTTTGTAATGAGGTTTCTTGCATTTCTGAGTCTATAACCCTTTAGTCTCCCCTAATGGGACATCATTATTCTGAAAGAAACAATGTAAATGTAAATGAATATTCTCATTAACGAGTCACAGAGAAACCTTTAGCGGTAGCACTGTGGTAATTCTGCTTGTTATTTCTCTGGTATTCCATGCAGGGCTTTTTTTTTTTTTTTATAATTCATTATTAGTATTCAAAATTACTTGTTCTTTAATTTTGCATGTCTTTTATAATCCAGTGTTCCAACTAGTTCAACCATGCCCTTGTTTTATTCTCGAGGAACCACCTGTGAAACGTTCAAGGTCTCTGTCCCCAGGGAAATCCTTCACAGACTCAGAGCTGCTGTGGAAGCTGAGGAAAGCGGAAAGAAAGCTTGAAAGCTTACAGAAGACACTGCAACTAAAGGTGAACATTAAAACATTTCTTTAGTAGTAACCTTGCAAAGATAAAGATAGACCAAAATAAACATGCATTTCACAAATTACTGTTTATCACTTATCATTGTTGTTGTTGTTGTTGTTATGTGCCGTTGAGTCAGCCCTGACTCATAGTGACCCCTCCTTGGGTTTCCGAGGCAGTATCACTACGGAAGTAGGATTGCCCAACCTTCCTTCCGAGGAGTGGCTGGTGGGTTT